CAATTTGGTGTCCTGCAATGAGGGTGGGAGGGGGGTGGACTGGATGGCCTTCTGGCCCCTCCTCACTCTACTATTCTATGATTCTTTGACTAAGTACCAAAGACAGCAACCCAGCCCTTCTGTTATGCAAAGTGAGGTGCCCACCTGAGGAGGTGTGTTGAGATGAACTGAGTCCTGCAAACTGCTCCTGCAGCTGCCACTAATCTTGAAATTCTCCCTACACACACACACACACACTCACTCACTCTGCCCACTTGGTGTCTAACAGGTGGGGCTGCCCTCACCACTAACACCCCTGAATCTTATATGGCTGCCCCATGTCATCCCTACTGCCATCTCAAAGCCATGCATTGGTCTACACATCTCGGTCACTAAGAAGCCACAATGTGCCATTTCTTCTATCTCATCTAGACTCCAAGCTGCTGCTGCAGAGGGACAGAGCAGCTGAAACAAACGTCTCTCTTTGCCAGCAGAACCCACCTGGGCATGGATGTGGACAGAGAGGGAAAAACAACACTCCAAAATGCTGCAGCAGAAGTTTCTGAATAAGTTGATGGGTGCCTGCCTTTCTTCCCAACTCAGGATCAAGCAACAGCATGCCTGCCCGGAGAAGTTGCCTGCTTGCCCTGCAAGTAATGCATAACAGCTGTGCTTGCATCCTAGGGAGCTCTGCAGCATGATGCCAGGCTTGCTAAGGGTAAGGGCAGACACAACTCACAAGCATGGATTAGGTTGCTGGAGTGTCATGAGGATGGCTAACAAACATGCCAAGGTACAGAGAACATTAAAAGCATGCACATTCAAATAACTGGCACCCTCAGCTAGTGTCAATCCTTCTCAAAGCAAAGTCCAAAAATGCTTGAAATTTAATCTCTGATGAATAAACATTTGCTGCAACCTTCTGTTCTTGTTAGGTTTGTGTCTAATTCTCTCCCTGCCCACCCACTGCCGCCTTTTTTTAGGTGTGTGCTTAATCCATTCCAAAGAGAAATGTTATTGCAAACAGAGCAGGATGCATAAACTTACAAACTAAAATTGTACCTTTATCATAGCAATGTCATAGAAATCACACTGCTGTTTAAAACTTAATTTTTGTTTATCCATTTTGATGCCCATTTTCCTGGTTGGGAGAGATCCTTTTGGAACACACCACATTCATTTACTGTATTAAGCATCCTAAGTAATTCAGTATCATCAGTAAATGTGGCCACTGTTCACTCCTAATTCCAGAGTACATTGCATAAGTTGATCCCTGTGTGACCCCCAGCCCCACAATGTTTACTGTTTATGCCTATAATCACCATAGATGGACTGTATGTTTAGGATTTAATTCAAGGTGTAACAACACAAATTCAGGCCAGATATCAGGAAAAGTTTCCTCATTGTCAGAGCAATACGACAGTGGACCCAGCTGCCTAGAGAGGTCATGGGCTCTCCCACACTAGAGACATTCAAAAAGAAGTTGGACAGCCATCTGAGTGGGATGGTGCAAATTGGTGTCCTGCAACAGCAGGGGGTTGGACTTGATGGCCTTCTTGGCCCCTTCCAACTCTACTATTCTACAATTGCTTCCTTTCATGCTTTACAATGCAGGCAGTAGTGTGAGAGAGACTTTGCTATAAAATGATTCCATCCGGATGCTTCTGAGGCATACGGAGGCATATGGATGGTATAAATGGGAGGTAGATGATGAATTATTAATATCCTTTGTAAGGGTACATTTGTGCCAGTTTTTAGGATTTATAACTCAGTCCTATGCATGTTTACTCAGAAGTTGGTCCAAGTTTGTTCAATCGTCCATTAAGCTTTCTTCCAGGTTAAGTGTGCATATGAGTGCAGCCCTTGCTGCCTTTCCAATTATTTATCTATTTAATATTTATTTATTCAATATCTATTCATTCATTTAATTTCTCTACTGCCCCTCAGCTAATGTTCTCTGGATGGTTTATACAATCCATAAAAACAGATGATAAAAATGCAATAAATATTAGAAAAATAAAAAAGCTTTTAAACAGCTAAAAAGAGATGATAAAAACAGACAATAACAAGAGTGGCTCTGCAAAACACCTGGTGATTCCCCTTAAGCCCCCAGGTGGCTGAGTAAGTCTTTAAGGCCTCAGAAATGAGGACTGTTTTACCCTGGTGAAAAAAGAATGACAGATTTGGTTACAGCTGGGTTGCAGCGGGGAGGTTATTCCGTAAATGTGGGAGCACCACTCCCTATGCTTGTTGTCAGCTTCCACACTCCCCTTGGAGTTGGCACCATACCAACAGGTATTGTGGTCTGAAGCCATGCAAGGCTTAATCCAATAATGTTAATTAAATTAATTGATGAGATTTATACTCATCTAACCCAATGATAAAGGTCACTGGGGCTATTAACTGTTGTTTGATGTATCTTTGTTCATCTGTGTCCACACTTGCGCATTTTAAGAAATTATGTAATGCACCAATGGTGATGGTCATTTTGCATTCTAGGATGGCTGTTTTGTTGATAACATACAAGAATGGTGGGTTTTTTAAAAAAATGTAACTTAGTTTATAATCCTTATATTCCACTTTTTCTTCAGGAGCTAAAGGGGGTGTACTGGCTAAAAGTGCAGTACTGGGACCCAGAAGACCTGGGTTCTAGTCTGCACTCAGCCATGGAGCTAACAGGGTGACTTTGGGTCAGTCAGACATTCAGCCCAACCTACCTCACAGGGTTATTGCTGTGAGGATAAAAATGGAGTTCAGAACTATCTAATCTGCCTTCATTTCCTTGAAAGGAAAGAAACTGATATAAATACAAATAAATAAACACAAGATTCCCCAGCACCATTTTTGTTTGCTTAACAATCCTGTGAGGTAGGTTAGGCTGTGATTGAGCCAAAGCAATCCCATGACTTCACAGCAAAGCTGATATCTGAAGAGTGTCTCACAGTTGTGTGCAGTGGGAGGGGAGGGCACACAGCACAAACCAAGTAGTGGGGGTTGTACAATTTTCTGGTTTGCCTCAGGCGGCATGTTAAGACTCAATGATCCAATGGCTCCCTGGGGTCTGTTTAGTAGCCATTTCTTGCCACTTTTGAATTCAGAGCTCACAATTCACTCAATCATAGTGCAAGCTAAACTCTGCTCCTGAATGATGTAAGCTGGCTCTGAGGCTCAATGGGTTCCTTAATCAGGGTTAGTAAAGCTTTCTCACTGTCTGTACAAGTTTTCTCAAGGCAAATGCAACCAACACAGTGGTTCAATACAAAAGCATTTCACCCAGCAAGCACTGTATTATGGCCAAGGGGGAATTTAAGGCCAGGTCTCTCTTGTTCTTTTTCCAATGCTATCCAGTGCTGCACATTAGCTTGCGCTGGGCATTCCCCCGGGGGTACAGGTGGGCAATCTGTGGAAGCTGCCCATGATGTTCAGAAGCCTTGTGGGTGGCCCACTGCAGATGTTTAAGCTACACTTGGAATTCCATGCTCTCTGCAACCCTGCTGCAGTTTGGACTGAGGGAGCAAGAGCAGGATTTAGATGAGGAGGTGTCTGAGACTGATATTTCCCATATTCCATCCTTCCCATTAAATTTCACTGTCCCCAGCCTGTCAAACAGTTGTTGAAGTGCTGACTAAAGTGCCATTTTAATGAGCCAGATGACCTGCAGGGAGAATCATTCTTGAGTATTGTACTCTCCATTTTAGCCACTCCCCTCCCCCTTCATGTCCAGCTGTTGGCATTGGGAAAACCAGCTAACTGATGGTCTGGAGGTGGGGAGGAAATGTAAGTTCAGTATGACAGGAGGTGGATTTTAAACTTCCTTGCCCCCTCATGCTGAGGTAAGGGGAAGAAAGTGCACCTAGATTCTTGAAAGTGGGGAAAGAGTCATTGAGCTGACTTGCACAGCGTGGCAGTTCGTCATGGCTTAATTTACCCATGGGGGCTCTTGCACTGTACCAGGTGTAATTTTTGCATGGTACCCACAGGTATTGAGCTTGTTGTTTTCTGTCAGTCTAGGAGACAGGGCTGTTTGAGGGTCAGACAAGCCTCAAATAACAGACATTTTATTTTAAGATTATTTGAGAGTTGTCTAACTCCCAGCTGCCTGCCATGACACTATAGTACAGCCTCCATGCACAAGTGAAACCATGATGGGATGACTCTTGTGACAGCCAAACAGGTCCTGTGTGTATATATATGTGTGTGTGTGTGTGCATGCATGCACATATGCGTGTGCAAGCATGTTTATGGTAAGAGAGTAGGGTTGGGGTAAAGGGGATTGCTGGCCCCAGCCATACCTACCTGGGTCAGTATCCTCCTGTATCTGGCTCTATGTATTTTGTAGCCACTTCAGATGGGCTACAAAATAGTGTGATGTATGGCTCAATATACTTCCAAAACACAGTATGAGACAAGTGTTTCTGTGTATGTTTTTGTATATTTAGTTTCTGTATATTTAGTAGTGAAAGTAAATATATTGTGTATACAGGGATCTCTATTTTGACTGGATTGTTCAGTATGCATCAGCCACACTGGCTCTTGTTCTCATTCAGTTTTACCACATGCTGAGCATTAGTGTGTGTATGTTTGGGAGAAAGGGATGAGGGCAGAAAGGATGTGATGAATGGGGTAATATTGCAGATAGAAATGACGGTATTTTGGGTTTAATGAAAACACTTCTCTTTACATTAAAAATGAACGAGAGTGTTGTCTTTTTAAAATTCCTGAAATGTCCATTACAACAGCTGCCCTATTTTTTGCATCCTGGCAGCGATTTCGTGGGGACCGCCACCGCAGTTCTGCCCGCTGCGGGGGAAGGGCGGCAGCCTTCGTGGGAGGCGCGCCTCCGCCCCGCCTCCCCACATCAAGCTCTGGAGCTGCAACATCCTCAGGAGAATGCTAGGTTCGTTGCTAAGGCAACCCCGTCGCTCCTAGTCCTTCCCTCCCTTCTTCCTCGAACTCGTCCGTAAAGAACTCATTTGACTCGGCATGGGCCGGCCGACGGCCCGTCGCCGCGATGCATTCTGGGCCTCCGCAATATGGCTGCCTCCTTGTTGTGCGGCTGAGGGGAGTTTGGCTCTACGGGACGTTCCTTTTCTGTTTCTAAACCCCTGCTATTTGGGGAGCTTGTAAGCGAAGAGGAGTTATCGACTGCTCGTCGCGGGGAGCGCGATGGGCCGGACTGGGTTCGCGTCGCAGCAGCCGGGCAGGAAGGAAGCACCCCCGCGGGGGTAGGACGTTCCCCCACCCCGGCCGCCACAAGCTTTCGGAAACAGGCCCAGGAGGGAGACCTGAACCGGACTTACCTCATAAAGGGTGAACTTGTGGGGGGTGAGCCGCTTTCGCCTATTACTCACCAAGGATAGGCATACCCACGCCTGGAACAGAGAGCTGCTTACTGCCAAATCACCTCTTTCCCTGCAAGCGCCACTCTTACTAATTATTTTGGGTGAAATAAGATTGCAGCCCACATTCTTATAGTGCTACTTTGAGTGGGAGACTATGGTGAAAACTTACTCTTTTTTGTAGCTCCTGTTATGACGAGGATTTTGAGTTAAGAATCTTCACACTTGAATCCAGAGAAGAGATCAAGATAGTGAAGCTCTTTATACTTTTGCTAACAGCTCCCACAAAAACACTAATAAACAAGTTTTGTCTTAAAAGGACATCTGCTGAACAGCATCTGCTATCTTTGCTTGAAAGATTCCTGTTCTGACTCCTCGGTGGATAGCAATTTACCTCCATCTTGGCTTTCTCATCACTCACTGTCCGTGTAGCACAAGGCATCAGCTTTACTTGGAACAAGCGTGCCAAACTGACCTATCAGTTTAGTTCTACATTTTCCTAACAACTTGGCCATGATTATGCTGCTTTGCTAAATCACCAACTACTACCTACTTTTTTGTATCTAAAATACTCGTAGACTTGTTTTCTCTAACTTTGTGAACAAATACTCCCCGATACCTTTCTGCCAAGGTTAATAATAGTTTCTGTTGTGGGCAAGAGCTGTTTCAGTAAAGGCAATTATTTGTAGCCTCTATCTTCCTAATATTGAGAAATGGTTCATGGGTGTGTCTGGCCTGATCCTGAAGAAGGCTGAAAAAAGAGGATCCACATGCATATCAGTGATTCAGTCACCTCACCAAGTGATCATCCATTTCTTGCCAGAAAGTTGTTCTTGGTATATTGATTGCATTACTCCAAGCTTGTCCTTTCCAAACAGGAATTCTCCAGCTGCTGAGCAGGGAACATTGTGACACTCTTTAGAATAGTAGCATTTGCAAAACTGCTTTGAGCAGAGCAGCTTCCCATGTAACATCTGGAGGAACAGTTGACCAATTGTGTTACTTTTTCAGTCACACTTTGTTGGGAGTGGGGATTTCTGATCACTGGTTACTTTGGCTTCACCAGTTCTGATGGAGTCCAGTATGCTACAGTCACCTCTCCTGGGGCTTGGGGAGGAAGATGAATCAGATATGACTGACTGGAATTTGCCTTTGGCATTCATGAAGAAGAGGCACTGTGAGAAAATTGAGGGCTCCAAGTCACTGGCTCAGAGTTGGCGAATGAAAGACCGGGTAATGATATGTAACAACTTATTTTATTTGGGGGGATAGAAGATAATCGTGTTATAGTTTGCTTACTGGGGTATTTGCACATTGTCCTTTATTACAAGCCTGAATCCTTATTTGTGCTTGCTTAATCTCTTCAGTCTTGAATATTCATTAAATGGCTTATAGTGTATGATAAGAGATAGCTTATGAGCATAGTTAAAGAAGATTTAGAACACAGTCCTATTGATTGAATCTTCGCTATGCAGAATATAGATGTCTGTACTCTGCCAGGCTGAAGCAGGTGGGGCTGGAGCAGCAGCAGAGGCAGTCTTCACCTTTCTGCCCTCCATCTGTAGTGATGGTCACTTTCCTGATCTTGCAAGACAGCTGGTATAGTTCGTTTCATGCCAGTTGTGAAGGGCGGAAGGTTGAATCTTTAACTGCCCTTTCCAAAGATGGAACACTATCTCCAGTTTTGGAAGTGTTTTTCCTAGCAATTCTGTTGTACTGGGACATTCTGCTAAGGAACATAAGATTACTCCCTTAAAAAAATCTTTAGTCAAATATGTTTTGCTTTTAAGTTAATAAAAATAATTGTATCTTAACACTTTTATGAGAAACTATTTGTAGAGAAAAATAATTCAGTATTTGTAGAGTAATTCAGTTGCTTTGCTGAAGAGACTTAAAGCTATTTTGACTTGCCCACATGTTGCCCCGAATTTATTTATTTTAAATAAGCAATATGTTTAACCAAAGTGGAACTGAGCAGATTGTATTTTAGAAAATAAAAGATATGTTGATCTTTAAGAACTGTAGAATGTTTGCTGTAGGCTAAAGGTTGTCACTTTGCAGAAAATACACTGCTTTCTGAAATAAAGTAAGCAAACTCCAGGCCTACTTGTCTTCTGGGGTTATGTAAAAAATTTGCTGCATTTGAGCTCTAGTAACCAAATAGCCAATCAAAATGTTAAAGAGAAGTTTCCACAAGCAAGTCAGCTTAGTTTGTCCATGATATCAGCTACTCGAGTACCTACTCACACTCATTTTAAAAAACAACATTTATGTTCACATAAGGAAAACATCAGAACTATATGCATTGTACTGAATAATACTGTGATGTATGTTTTATGGTGTATTGTAAAAATTAAGCAAAATGGCTAAGTATACAGCCTTAATGTAAACAGGTCCTGGATCTTCTAACAGTGTGTGAACCAGTTTGTATGTTTTCCACTATGTGATGTCGGAAGAGGTTAGACAGTGTTAGCTTCGTAGTGCTGGTAAGGAAATATTTTGTTCCCTTGCTCAAATACTGTAAGCAAGCCAGTCTGCACTGTAGTGGTACCTGCCATAGAAGCTATTGTATAGATGCTTAGAAGATCTTCTGTAGTGCAGCTATGCTTTGTAGTGTAGAGAAGAAGGCTTATAGTGTATAGATGATGAGTGAAATGTAACTGCCATAACATCTTGAACAGCAGGATATCTTAATGACTCTTGGGATGTACCTGATCCCATGGCATTCCTGTAACTTTGTACTTTCAAAACAGCAGAGGTTCTTGAAAAGCCAGTGCTGCAACCAGGCTGTTTGGTTCTATAGCTTAATGGTTGACTCATCTGTGTTCTTTTTTGAATGGTATTGGATAAATCTTTGAGAGCTTTTATTTTGATGTTATGCAGCTTTATGATAGCCATTACATTTTATGCAAAATCATATACTACTGTGTAGTATTTCCTTATGGTGTTTTCATCTCATGTCTCTCATGTAGGCAGGAAACACACACACACACACACACACACACACAGAGAGAGAGAGAGAGAGAGAGAGAGAGAGAGAGAGAGAGAGAGAGAGAGTTAAGGGAGGCATAAAGGAGTATAAATATTCCAAATATCATGGCCACTGTTGTAATAGGATCCTTTTACTGCTTGACCTACACAGATTCTGACTCACTAAATTCAAAGCAAAATTCTTTTCCATGTAGTGGAACAAAACTGTTCAGGGCTTTCTTGTAAACATCTACCTCTTCTTTCTTTGGCCTTACTTATGAGCAGAGACTATTAGAATTCAGGCCAGGACTTGTTTTTGCTACTAGCTAGGATTTGGTCCAGGAAAGTGTGAATAAATGGTCTCAGAACATTAATAAAATACCTTTTCAAGTAATTAAATTGTTCAGGTAAACCCCATACCAAAGCATTTTTCAAACAATTTTCTCTTAAGGGAACTTCAACTTCTGCAGCACATGCAAATAGCTAATTGGAGTTTAGGGTTAGGTTTTCACACCTATTTTTTCTGACTTGGGAAAAGGCAGTTAAAAGGAGACAAATAGGATGTGCGACAAAATGTTGCAATGTGTAGTTCCTCCATTCATGATTGCCAGCTCTGCCCTTTACCTGAATACCCAGTTCTGTTTCCCCCCTTATGTTTTCCAAACTGAGCCTCTCAGGAACATGATACTGTTTGTGAGCAAGTCATATGTTCTCTGCAGCGGTAGGCAGAATTTGGCAATTATACAGAGAAACAAGGCATGTAAGACATGGACACCTTATTTCTATGATTATGATTCTGCTTTTAAGGAAAGAGCATTGTCCTTTTGCTCCTAGTTTCCCCACAGAATTTATGGGGGTGGGCCTTGCAGCCATTTTCTCTTCACATGATGGTCTCAGTAGCAGGTTTGTAATGGTGGCAGTGGCCGGGGAGGCATGTGTTACTCATGCCTGTTTAATAGAATAACAGTTCCTTCTGGATGGAAAGCCACACACTCAGAGAGCAGAGACTATCCTCAGACTGGGTAATCAATTTGCTGAGTCTCAATCAGCTGAAAAAGGTTACAAAATGCTAGAGCTTTCACTGCTCAAACCAAAAGGATGTCTGCCGCAAACACACTGACTCAGTTCATTCAGCACTGAACAGAGATTGCCCAATGGGTGGATGTTTCTCAAAGGGTTAGATTCATGCTGGGGAATGTGCTATTAATGCAGGGCTCTGAATCACCAACTGATTGTCTGATAACTCAGTGTTTCTAATCAATGCTGGCCAGATGATTTGTTTAATAAAATGGTGAGATGTATAAGTTACAAAGCTTTTATGATGGACCCAGCTAGAGTAAGGAATCATTATCATTTTCATAATTTCTTGCCAAGGACCGAATTATAGAGAACATTTTTAGAAATGAGATTTCTTCATTTTTGTGGTTAACACAGATTTTTTAAAATGTATTTGATACTGATGGGAAAGCAGGTTGATGTCTTATTTAAACCCTTAGAGAGAGTCTGTATAATGGATAATACATTTTTATTCAGTAACATAAAAAATCAGAACTTTGATTTGGAAGGTTGGATATCTGAACTAAAAATACTATGGTACTGGATTGGAACTTGGCGGTTTGGACCCAAACCACAAAGGTATCTTTATTTCAGAATAAGAGGTAGGATATTTTGTTAGAATGCAAAGGATATCTGTGTGAACTCAGTACTTGTACGTAAGCCATTGCTACTAGTCGTGGTTTCAGCAGAGTACACGAAGTTCATCTTGGGCTGTTCTGGTTGGTACACAGAGCCCTTAATTAGAAAGATTCCTGGCATTTTTTGCTTTGGTTTCTTTCCGTAACTCTTTTATGTTTATCTTGCATTTTTGAACCTTAGGGTGTTAACTGATGAGGACTATTAATCCAGTGCAGTATTATTTTTAAGGAGTATTATTTTGGTACATAGGTACAAATACTTGGAGTTTGGATTGGGCATTAACATGAGTTTCTTTTCCCTTAACTGATTCCTGAAAATGTTGCACATCCCAACTTAGGCTAAAGATTATTTTCTTTTTCTTTTTTGTAAAATATATTTTATTAACATTTTAAACTAACACTAGAACCTCCTACTGCATATTTTTTTAACATTCTAAAGTCTAATTTCAAATCAATTTATAATAGTTTGAAAAACATCTCTGAGTTTACGCCAGGTCCCATTTCTCCAGCCAATTATAGAAAGAGTCCCAAGTTCGATAGAAATCAGTATCCTCTTTCTCTTTCAACAATAAAGTCAATCTATCCATTTCTGCACAGTCCAAGATCTTTCTTACAATCAATCCATCGGTGGGCAGCTCCTCACTTTTCCAATATTGAGCAAATGCTATCCTCGCCGCTGTGATTAGATGTGGTATCAGATACATTTCCTGTCTGTTAACGTCTTCCGGTATGATGCCTAACAAGAAAACTTCGGGTTTAAAAGCAAAGGGTTTTTGTAATATTTCCTCCATCCATCTATGTATTTTAATCCAGTACTTTTTTGCATTATCACAAGTCCACATGATAAAAAGTACCCACTTTATGTTTACATTTCCAACATCTATTTGACATATTTGGAAACATCTTAGCTAATCGACTTGGTGACAAATACCATCTATAGAAAAGATTATTTTCTCTGTTTTGATAAGGTAAGGTAACATGGGCAAGTTACTTTAACTCCAAGAATTCTTAAAGGCATTTCCTTGCAGTATAGGTAGGACTACTAACTTAATGTTATTGTTATAAGATCTCTTATTATAAGGGTGATATCTGTGTAAGTTCTCAATTTGGGATTCTGTCTTTAGGCTATATATGAATGCTTATTTTGGCTTTGAGTGTAGTGTTTTTTGTGGAACCCTGAAATGAAGAACTTGCCTATAACATTAGAATTATTTTGTCACTGTTACATGTAACATTCCTTTGGAATATCAAATTATATGTGGATTTGACTGGTAAGTACATTGATTTTTAAATTAAGCAACCTTGTATTCTTAAGTTGCAATATAATTTAGCTGAAAGGCTTCTAACACAGAGTTTGCACAGCACCAGTTTGGAAGCTAATATTTTCAGTTTATAACTGTCTATAGGAACATTGTTTAGGATTATAATTCTACATACAACTTCTTGAAAAATGCATCCTATTATACTCTGTGGATTTTCTTCTGAGTAAACTTGTTCTGAGCAAGTGATATGAATGGTATAGTACTGATGTTATAATAAATTAAAATGTTTTCCTAAAATATGGCTATT